TGAAGGAGTTGGAGACTGAGCAGGGGGACGGCCTGCCACGGGAGCAGGAAGGAGAGGAAGCCCTCCCTGCCAAATTCCTCCCAAATTCTCTCCCTTGGGCAGGTGGGACAGGGAGGGGAAACCAGGGGTGGCGGTGGGGATGGAGCTGGGTCAGGAGGGCTGCCGGCGGTCCTTTTCGTCCTCTGCCCTCTTTCTGCCGAGAGGCGGCCGCCTCTGCCCGTCCTGTTTGCCTACTCTTTGTTATGCGGCCCCTTTCGAGGGGCCCCTTTCGAGGGAGAGGTTTCGGGTGCCCTGCTGCTGCCGGCGGGGCTGCCCTTCTGGCCCTTTGGGGGGAAGGAGTGCTGGGCTCTTCTCCCCCCCCCTGCTGCCGCCTTGTTCCTTCACCTGAAAGGGTGAGAAGGGGGGACCCTCTTCCCCAGGCCAAGGGGTGGGGTGGGATCCATGAGGAGCCAGCTTGCAGGATGCTCCCCCCATACACAAACCCTAATCTCTTGCTCAGCCAGGAGGGACGGGGGGGGGCTGGTTTAGGTGCCTGTGGAAGGGGGAGGGCTCCATGATCAGTCTCTTTCCACCCCCACCCCCACAGCCTTTGTTTTCTGGGGTCCTCCCTCCTGCTGCCTCTCCCAGACCTTCCAGGTGCTTTTCCTCCTCCCTGTGTGTGGGGGGGGGCTGCTCCCCTTCTCTGCTCCCCCCACCCCGCCGCTTGCCTGCCCGCCTGCCTTCCTGCTTGCTTGCTTGCTTCCGTGTTGTCCCCAAAGAGGAAGCCGACAGCTTGAAAGCTGTTCTTCCCAACTTCAAACAAAAACCAGGGGAAAGGAAGCCAGCCGGTGGGGGGGGGGCCCTGCCTTTGATGCCAACCCCCCCTCCCCACCGGCCAGCCAGCTCTTCCGGGGCCTGGGCAGGGAGGAGGAGCGGATTTGGGAGAGGGCCCCCGGAGGTGTTCCCTCCCACCTGCGCTCCCTTTTGGGGTGGGGGGAGGGAGTTCTCTGTCTGTGCTGCCAAAGGAAGGCTGGGCGGAGGAGGAACTGTGCCGAAGACGACACGGGCTCCTTCCACTGGCCGGCCAGTGGGGGCCCCCTTTTCTTCCTGCCGAGGAGGAGCGTCTTTCCCCGCTCTGCTCCCCTGTCTTGTCAGGAGAACAGAACCCACCTTGGCAAGGGTGCCAAGGAAAGAGAGCAATGTGTGTGGGGTGGGGGGAAGGGAGTCGCCAGCTGGGCAGTGCCAGAGCAGGGGTGTTGCTCATATACCCTCCGTCTCCGCCTGGGGCTGCCCTGGGAGACGCGGGGCTGGGCAGGAGAGCCTGCTCTCTGCCGTGTGTCTTCTGCCTGGCGCCTGGGCTGGCGGGGGAGCTTCGAGGTGGCTGGGCAGGGTGAGGGTGCAAGCCCCCCTCCCCCCTCCCCTGGGGCCGTCCGTGGGTTCTCGCCTGCCTCGTGGGCAAGGGGCTGCTGTAGGCTGGGACCCCTACGTGTGCATGTGGGTCCAGGGCTCGGCCCTAAGAGGAGAGGGGCCACCCTTCCCTTGAGGGGTGTGTGACTATGAGGCAGCTGGCGCACCTCCTGGCACAGGGCTGCCCAGGGAGGCTGGCCAGCCCTGAGGAGGGCGGTTCCACGCGGCACAGCCTGGCCCGAGGGGTGGACCTTTGCCCACGCCAGGAACCCCTGCCCTTTGCCTTGTCCCAGTGTGCCCAGTGGGTGTGGGCGCCAGCAAGCCTGTGGCTGTCCCCGGGCGGCAGTGGGGGCCGTGTTTCTACTCTCCACAAAGCTGCTCTTGATCTGACCTCTCTGCGCAGCTTTGGATCCATCCCTTCCTGCCAGGCCAGGAAACCATCAAGCCGAGAGAGCCGCTCCCTCGGCAGGCGGTGGCGGGAAGGGGTGAGGGTGCAACGGCTGTGCTGCCCCAAAGACGTGCGTTCAAGGGTCCGTCCTACTGAGGTCAGGAAACTGAGTGTCCAGCTTCGGGGTGTGTGTGGGTGTGGGTGTGTGTGGGGGGGTAGGTAATGTGCAGCCTGTATCATTGAATGGTAACCACCTTTACGTGCTCTAAGGTGGGCACAGAAGCAGCATTTTTTTTGCTTTTTGCCACGCAAGGTCACCCTGGCGCCCACTGGCCACGCTTCCCAAACCTTCTGTCAAAGGCATCAGGTGGGAGGGCATGCGCACACCCCAGGCGTGCAGGCAGAGGTGGGTCTGTGATGGCAGGAGCGCTCCGCGGGAGGTTCCTGCTACTCACGCCCACAAGCCTTGGTGGGGAGGGCGCACGACCCCACCTGGCACTCGGTGACCCGGCCCTTCCTCCCAAGGGAGCCACCTCTTAGCCAGCAAGCGAGGTGCCAGGCGGAGGCGCAAGAGCCGGTCAGGGGACCGGCAGCCACAAGGTCTGCTGGCATGCCTGGGCCAACCGCCACCTCCAGATTCCACCGATGTCTGAAAATTAGCCTTTAGGCATCACGAAGGTGGGTGCTTTCAGCCCCTGGCCTTAAATGCTCTACGGGCAGCCGTTTCCACCCTCTCCGCCCTCTGCCTTCTGTCCCCAAGGGGCACAAGAACTGTCATTCAGGTTGCAGGACATCCCCTCTACATTATGGGGGGGGGAAGGGCAGAACGTGTTGGGGCCGCAGGGATCCCACATTTTTGGGGGGGGGTGGAGTTGAGGGATGCGTGAATGCCCCGGGGGCAACGCTGTGGGTGCAGCCGTTGTGGGGTGGAGGCCGGGTGTCCTAGCAGGGTGTCTCCAGCGCCCATCCCCATCCCAGGAGTCCAGCGCTCTGCCCCGCGGGCTAGGTGTCAGCTGGCTGGGGGCCTCCCAAACCACCCTGCTGGCAAGTGCAAGGCCACCCAGCTTCCAGCCAGGCCGTCTCCTTTGGGCCCATCATCCTCCCTGCGGCCGAGGACCTGTCAGGCTGCATTAGTGCCAGCGCCGGGCAGCCGCCGCCTCCCGCCTCCGCCGCCTTTCCTTGCCCCCTCCCCCAAACCCATCAGGAACTTCTGACTCATCCATTTTAACTGTCCAGACGCTCTTGCCAGTGACATTATCCTTAACGTTTTGTAATCATGAAATATTAATGGCGGATATTGAATTTAAAGTACAATTTATGTCTGAATCCTCTGCTGGAAAGGGCAGTTGTAAAGGTAAGGCCTTCAGAGCCGAGCGTGTGCTGCAGGAAGGAGGGAGGCTCGCCACCGGCCCTTCGAGCAGGCAGGCAGAAGGCGAGGGAGGGAGAAGCCGAGCCTCCCACGCGGCGCTTCGTGCCTGCATGTCCGTGGCACGCGCGGGGAGGCGTTTTTGCTGGGTGCAGCAACGTGACCCCTTTCAGCCGCTTTGAAGGACCTGATCTTGGGGGCGGTTGGTGCAGAAGGACGGAAAAGGGGGCTCCCACCTGCCCGGACCCTTGTTGCAGGCTGAAAAGAGAGGACCTGTTCCCCTCCCCACCTTCCGCCCCTCGGATCCCCATGGCCTGGGATCACCTTGCAGGAGGGCAGTGCGGGGGGGAGGGGAGATCCC